CATGGAAACTATTAAAAGGTGCCACCAAGCCAGTTACAAGTCACATCTGTGCTTTTCTACCAGAAAAGTTCAAACACATTAGAGTTTGAATTGAGTGCTGGTTTAGTCCTGGTTAAATCTTGGTTCTGGGCCTGTTAGATCAGACCTACACTGCAAAATGGACTTTTCACAGCTTTAACCCTGTTATAGTTGTTTCCTCTTCGTTGACCCTCTGAAGCTGTGTTTGGAGGGAGTGTATGAGTAATCTTTATTCACGTATTTTTAACTTGTCATTTTGCTGATGAACGCCCATACTGCCCCTTCACAGGTACACGGACACTGTCATTTACTTCCTTCTCCAGTTGAATTTTCTTAATCAGTAGGATTCAGCAGTGCCATATAGTCATTTTGGTACAAAAGAATAAAAATGCTCTGCTCTAGTGTGATGTTCAGATATCCTTAGGAGGGGCCCACAGGTGCTTTGTTGTGATGAAGCTCCCATTGGAAAACTGTGGTTTCCAGTGTGGAAGTCACCAGACCTGTTTCTTTTATTGTGCCATTTTAGATCAAGTTTGTCTTTTAAAATGTGCAAATTCTAACATAATGATCCACAGGTGTCATTGTAGATAGATTCCAGTCATTTTTTCCCGTCGGCTGCACTGAGCAAAGCATCATGGTCTATGTAGTTCCCATAAAGAGTGTGTGTAAACCTTTGATGATATACTTGCTGTGTTTGATGAGTTGTGCACTCTCTTGTTTTATCGTCACTATTTTTCTGTATTGACAAAGTTGGAGACTGAAGACAAAAGTTGAAGTTGGTTTGATTGCGACAGATGTTTGGTGTTTGTTGTGGTTCGGTGGACACTCTCTCTCCCTCCCTCTCCCTCCCTCTTTCCCGCTCTCCACCTCTCTCTCTATTCTCCCTCTCTCTTTTTCTTCCCCTCTCTCTCTTTCTGTCTTCCCTCTCTCCCCCTCTAACTTTTCCCCCCTCTCTGTCTCTCTCCTCTCCTTCCTCTCCCTCCCTGTATCCCTCTCTCGTCTTTCTCTCTGTGGGTTTGTTTGTTTGGTTCTTCCCTGTGTCTTCATTTCAGTGCGTGGCTGTGATCAGTGAGAGCAGATGTGAGGAGCAGAGCCGAATAATCAGAGCCGTCCCCAGAGACACGAGAACACGCCACAAACACGCACGCGACAAGACCTCCTCTGCACCTCTGCACCCTCTCCTCTCTACTCCTCTCCCCCTCTCCTCCTCTACTCCTCTCACCCTCTCCTCCTCTCCTCCTCTGCACCTCTGCACCTCTCACCCTCTCCTCTCCTCTACTCCTCTGCACCTCTCCTCCTCACTCCTCCTCACCCTCTCTCTCCTCTCTACTCCTCTCTCCTCCTCTCACTCCTCTCACCCTCTCCTCCTCTACTCCTCTCCTCCTCTGCACCTCTGCACCTCTCACCCTCCTCTCCTCCTCTCACTCCTCTCTCCTCCTCTGCACCTCTGCACCTCTCACCCTCTCCTCCTCTACTCCTCTCACTCTCCTCTCCCCTCTCTACTCCTCTACTCCTCTGCACTCCTCTCACCTCTCACTCCTCTCTCCTCCTCTGCACCTCTCACCCTCTCCTCCTCTGCACCTCTCACCCTCTCCTCCTCTGTACCTCTCACCCTCTCCTCCTCTACTCCTCTACTCCTCTACACCTCTGCACCTCTCACCCTCTCCTCCTCTACTCCTCTCACCCTCTCCTCCTCTACTCCTCTCACCCTCTCCTCCTCTGCACCTCTCACCCTCTCCTCCTCTACACCTCTCACCCTCTCCTCCTCTGCACCTCTCACCCTCTCCTCCTCTACTCCTCTCACCCTCTCCTCCTCTACTCCTCTCACACCTCTCACCCTCTCCTCCTCTCCTCCTCTACACCTCTCTCCCTCTCCTCCTCTCCTCCAGTACTCCTCTCACCCTCTCCTCCTCTGCACCTCTCACCCTCTCCTCCTCCTCTCACTCCTCTCACCTCTCACCCTCTCCTCTCTGCCTCACCTCTCACCCTCTCTCCTCTCTCCTCCTCACCCTCCTCTCACCTCTCTCACCTCTCCTCTCCTCTACACCTCTCACCCTCTCCTCCCTCTCCTCTCACCTCTCTGACCCTCTCCTCCTCTCACCTCTCTCACCCTCTCCCTCCTCTCTACACCTCTTCACCCTCTCCTCCTCTACACCTCTAACCCTCTCCTCTGCTCCTCTGACCCTTTCTTCTGCTCCTCTGCACCTCTGGCCTTCTCCTCTCCTCTGACCTCTCTCCTCTCTCCTCACTCCTCTGACTCCTCTCCTCTCCTCCTCTGACCCTCTCTCCTCTCTCTCTGCTCTCCTCTGCTCCTCTGACCCTTTCCTCTTCACCTCTGACCCTCTCTGCACCTCTGACCTTCTCCTATCCTCCTCTGTTCCTCTGCTCCTCTCCTCTGCTCCTCTGACCTTCTCCTATCCTCCTCTGTTCCTCTGCTCCTCTCCTCTGCTCCTCTGACCTTCTCCTCTGCTCCTCTTACCTTCTCCTCCTCTGTACCTCTGACCCTCCTCTCTGCACCTCCTCCCTTCTCCTCTCCTCCTCTGTACCTCTGACCTTTTCCTCTCCTCTGTAACTCTGACCCTCCTCTCTGCATCTCTGATCTTCTCCTCCTCTTCATCCTCCGCTCCTGGAGTTAACCGGGCTCTGACAGATTGCGACCGTCGCCCGTTAACGACGTGGCTTCACAGCCGCGTCTCAGGCTTTGCGAGTTTTAATCTAAAGTTGAATCATGACTTTGTGATTGTGACGTGTGCTACAGAGCAGATCCACTCAACGCTCGGAAAATGAACAGCTGTCTCTGTTTACATCGACAACGAGAGTGAAGTCATCCTCCTGTATCCCCGCGTGTCAGATGCCCTCCCGTCCTCCTGCATCCCCCGCGTGTCAGATTCCCCCTTCGGATGTTAATCTCTTATTCAGATTTTCAAAAATTAACTCTAAACCCTCCTTCTTCCTCTTTCTTCTTCCCTCCCTCTGATCCCTCTTCTCTTTTCTCCTGTTGTTGTCTCTAAATGCCTTGTTTGTAGCTTTATTGGTGGAGTCTCCCTCTTTCCTCCTTTCCTCCTCCTCTTCTCACTTCTCTCTATTCCTTTTCTTCCCTTGTTGTTGTCTCGAAATACTCTGTTTGTAACTATATTGGCAGACTTGTCTCTCCTTTCTCTCCCTCTCCTCCCTCTCTATCTCCTTCTCTCCTCTCGTTTCTTCCCTGTTTTCGCCTCTAAAAGTCTTATTTGCAGCAGTATTGGCAGACTTGTTTCTCCTCTCTCTCCTCCCCCTCCTCCTCTTCCTCCTTCCTCTCTTTTCTCCCCCTGTTGTTGTCTCTAAACATCTTATTTGTAGCTGTATTGGCAGACTCGTTGTTGTGGTTGAATTATCCTCCGCCGCGTTCGAGGTGTTCCCGAGAAAAACTGAAAACACAGGACTTTAGCTTCATCAGAGACTCATTAGGACAATCACAGAGACGACGGTGCATTTAGGGGCCGGAGAGCGCTGGGGAAAAAGGACTTATGCCCAAAAAGGAAACACAATACTGCTTATATTATAGTCATCGGCTCAGCTCAGTGGCTCACAAGCTTTCTGTCTAAGAAAAGCACTTTATTTTTGGAAGGGCTGCAGATTCTTTTTAATGACATTAGAATTGAAATGGTCGCAATTGTCTGCAGTCCATTAGGTAATACGATGTTCCATTTGAGAGCTAAATGTCCCTGTGTGTCAGATGCCCTCCCTGTGTCTCCATGAGGTTTTATCTGTGTAAAAGCCGCTCGCCCTGTAGTTCAGACCTCTACAAACATCTTCTGAAAAGTCTAGGATTCTTGGATGAGTTTAAAATGTTTCAACTCTGACGTGTGAATTGAATGTGGATTTTAATAGAGTGCGGTTTATTAGTAATTGCAAGGCACAGAGTAGCAATTTCAACATTTTGGAAACAACATTTTATGGATGGATTTGAAAGTGAGGTTTTGAAAATGACGCTTTTAGAGTTCTGTTTGTTTCTATAATTTTTCACTTAATAAAGAAATTATCCATGGGTCCATCTCCTGCTTGTCTCATGAAAATGTCACTGCTTTGGCTGAGAAATGGTACGGTCTATATTTGATTCATACAGTTACAGACAGTTTGATGGTTTTACAGTAAAAAATGCTCAGTTTGGGAGTTGTCCTCTTGTTTTGACCTCGACTCCTGGGTCTTTCTTTGTGGAGTTTGCATGTTCTCCCTGTCTGAGTTTCCTCCAAACCAAAACATGTATAACAGGTCAAATCCTACAGTTAAGGTCCTGACCAAGACCAGCTCAAGATCTGGAGACGGTCCTACTGCTCCTGACAGGTTTAACCCAGAGACACTGAAGGACGGGTCAAATGCAGAGACACATTTCCCAAGCTGGCGCCACCTAGTACTTCCACTCAATTTCATTTCTCTCCAGCGGCTCGATCAGGAATCAGAATACAGAAGACGGTTTGCAAGAATCCTGGAAGTGCAAATTCAGGCACCAGCCAATCAGCGAAGAGCCATACATTCTGTGTTGGAAGCGATTCCCGAGATCAAGGATTTAAAGCCGGAACAAAGAGAATGTTTGGTAAATTTTATCAAGGGGAAAGATGTTATTGTCCTTCTTCCTACAGGATTTGGAAAAAGCTTAATATACCAGTTAGTCCCGTTAGCGGCGCATTACATACGTCACGATCAAATAGCAGCGATTGGTTAAATGAAAAAAGTACCTGCCTACCATCGAGCGAACGAATCCTAAAGATGCGAACTCAGCCGGTTTCTACGAAGTGAAACCGGCTGATGAATCAGGATAACAGTTCCCAACAGTGGCAATAAAGTTCATCTTAATCTTAACCCTGTTCTAATATGATGAAATGTCCCGCAGCAGATCTTTAACCATTTAACAATAAAGCCTATCCTTACCTTACCTTAGAATTACTAAACGTTTCTGATCTACATCTTCTTAAAGTGTTTTTGTCCTCTCTGTGTCTCTGCAGAAGCTCCTGTCTGTCCACTCGGGCCCCGCCCCTGCGCACCTGTCCACCTGCCCCTCTCTGCTCTGCGCTGCCCCCGCTGGCCCGTCAGGTCGCTGCGTCCTGTCGCCTCTCACCGAGTCGCTCCTGCAACAGCTCGAGTCCAGAATCAAAGAACTGAAGTCATGGCTCAGAGACACAGAGCTGCTCATCTACACACTCAACAACTCACTCAGGGGGGCCTGAGGAACAACAAGGAGAGAGGAGCAGCTGCAGAGCTTTAAGGTACACACTCAGGGGGCGCTACAGAGATTTTGAGGTACACACAGTACTAGAACAGGTACATAGGTTTAAGGTATTAGAATTGTCAAAAATATAGAAAATAGACTAGAATATAAGCCCAATTTACCTGAACCACTGAGAGATTACACAGATCTAGGGCCTTATGGTAACAGAAAAGAAAATAATATGATTTAATGTTGAAAATCGCATACTTTTGTCTAAAGAAAGTGTTTTTTATCATCTTCATGTTATTGGAATCGGTATTGAGGATCGAGTCTATTCCTTATGAGTCTATTTAGTACCAAAACTGAATTTGAACACTACATTGGAACAGGTTCAGTGAAGTATCTTGGTTAGGCCTGATCACGTGGGTGCACCAGTTATTTTAGTAGGCAACCAGTCAGCTTTTATTTTTATTAGTCGACTTAGGCAACATTTATATGATGACGATCTAAACAGAAGAAGCAAAAGTGGCATCACGTCTTCACTTTTTATTCCACGTTTAGACAAGTGTTTTCAAGAGGAAATCTGTGTGCATATGGTGATGTAAAAGTGTGTGGAATTCGCTGTCTGGCTTCTCTGTCCTTCTCTGTTCACTAATAGTATCTCTTAGTGATGTGACGTTCCGTATCGAGGCTTCGAAGTGTGTGTCGCTTAGGGAGGGGGCGTTTCCGCGATGCGCGTATCGAGGCTCGTTTCCTTTAGGGGAGGAGCTGAAAAAGATGAGGTCCGAAGCCTCGCTGCCCGGCTGTACCACGTGACTGATTCAGAAAGTGGTTCGGATTTTGCCGCGATTTCCATTTTCATAATTTTCAAATAATCGTCTTCCATACTCCCAGTATATAGATACACAGTACACTGCCATCACTACAATATACATGTTTTGCATACTTCTTTATTTTGCTGACAGTTTTATTCACAGGCTTTCTGCAAAATGTCACACAATTCAAATTCATGTCAACTGATATTTTTGTGTCCAGTAGATGTCCTGCTAGAGCAAATGAAGCTTCAAGAAGCTTTGCGCTAGAGTGAACCAATTGAATGAAAGGCTTCAATGCATCTTGAAGCTTCATTTGCCCATCACTAGTATCTCTGCAGATTCTGTACATTTGTTGGGAGCCTCCTGTAAGTTTATCAGAGCAGCTTGAAGGTCCGACGCATGGAAATGATCCGACATGTTTGTTTCTGTGTACTGTGTGTGTGACGTAAACGTGCCTTGAGTAGATCTGACCAGAGTTTTGCTTCTTGAGCAGTGTAGATTGGAAAGTTAACTTTTTCTCTCTGGAGTTTGTTTTTAGATTTTAAGCCCCCAAAAAATACCATCACCATCTAAATAAAACACTCTTCTGATAAAATATTTTGCCACAAGCGTTCTTGTGTAAACAGGCCCTTTGATAAATAATTTTTTTTTTACCAATGTTTTACCAAGATTTACCAATAATGTATTCACTTCTTTGTAGTTTCATATTGATGTTGTCTTTGTTTTGAGTCATAGATTTGAGCCATAGATTTCTGAAAACAATAGTTTTACGCCTAATAATATATTTTTGAACTTTTTTGTTTGTTTGTTGATTGTCCTCACTGGTAGTATGTTTCTTCTGGAGCCGCAGCTGCCCTTGGGTAACAAAAGTGAAGCTGCCAATCTGCTCCATTTACTCCCTCAGACCACCACCACTCTCACACACCATATTCATACATGTGTCTTGCTCAAGGACACAAGGACAGTTGGGTTGCTAGGTGAACGCTGTAACCACTGCTCCTGACAGGTTTGAAAACAACAGTAGAATGGTGTAGTTTAGACCCTGTTTAGATCCTGGTTCGACCTCAGTTTAGACCTGGTTTAGTTCTGGTTCAGGCCCTACATGAGTCTGATTTAAATACTCGTTCAGTGTTAGTTTGTTGTTTCATTCACACTTGCAGACACACACCTATAGCCTACATATAGTCTCACTCAACTTCTGCAACTTCCTCACTTACAGTTCCAGTCGCATTAGAATCCTTGTGCTAACGCTAACGAGGCCACGCTATAGACATAAGTGTATAGCGGGAACAGCAGTTAGCCTTTAGCTCGGCGGGGCACTAACCGGATCTTAATCAGCCCTGAGTCACACAGAGAGGAGCTAGCTGCGCTGATTAGCCTAGCCCCGTGGAGTGACTGACAGCAGCCGCGCTAACAACAGGTTTAAGCTAAAGAAAGCAGCGACGTATGGACCATTAGCACAAACCACCCCCCGCGCAGACGCCGCTATATATGTCCCACTGGCAGCGCACTCAATCAACAACTTTAATTACATATGTTGGAATGTTTTCACTCAGTCCTCACTCATGTGTGGTTGTTTACATAAGCTTTGATACACTTAAAGCTGTACTGTGTAACTTTCCCGCTGAAGGACCTAGCAACATTCTTGTTTCCATAGTTCTAAACCAGACAACACTAACTTCTTTGTTTGAAGAGGAATGGAGTAAAGTGATCTTCCTGTTGAACACAGGATTCATGAAATTACCTCAATGATGTGATATAATATGAAGGTATACTGTAGTATAGTAAAGTTGCAATAATGAACTATGTGGACTCTGTGGAAAATTACAGTAGAACACTCTGACACTTCTGAGTCTGTCATATACAAACTCATGTGTCCGCTAGAGATGCGCGGATGGGCTACTTTTTCATCCGCAACTGCGTCACAAAACTCATCATCCGCCCACTATCCATTTTCAACAGTTTCAACAGTTTTTGACCAGTTTTCAAAACCGCACCCGCCCGCCCTCCGCTCAGTTCAGAGTTTTTTATTTGAGTAGTGAAACCGCCACCCGCCCGAATTTAATTAAAATATTATTTTTTGTCACATCATCCCCCCGACCCGCGGTTTAGCTGCGGAGTCCGCGGCTGTAACCGCCATCCCCGCATCTCTAGTGTCCGCATTTGGTGAATAATAGAATTGGTGCTGCTATGATCATTTCCTAGGTACGTCTTACTTATTCATTATTATTATTAGTAGTAGTTGTACTATTAGTAGTAGTATTACTTGTAGTAGTTTAATTTTAAATATAGAAAAATAACTAGACCTAAACTAGCTCTAAACCAGCTCTAAACCAGGCCTAAAGCAGCTCTAAACAAACTGTAAATCAGCTCTAAACCAGATCTAAATCAGGCCTAAACCAGCTCTAAACCAACTCTAAACCAACTCTAAACTCTAAACCAACTCTAAACCAGCTCTAGACTAACTTTAAACCAGCTCTAAATCAACTCTAAACCAGCTCTAAATCACTCTAAACCAGCTCTAAATCAGGCCTAAACCAGCTCTTAACCAACTCTAAACCAGGTGTAGACCAACTCTAAACCAACTCTAAACAAACTCTAAACCAACTCTAAACCAGCTCTAGACTAACTTTAAACCAGCTCTAAATCAACTCTAAACCAGCTCTAAATCAGGCCTAAACCAGCTCTAAACCAGTTTTAGACCAACTCTAAACCACTCTTAAACCAACTCAACTCTAAACCAACTCTAAACCAGCTCTAAACCAGCTCTAAACCAGGCTTAGACCAACTCTAAACCATCTTCAAGCCAACTCTTAACCACCTCTTAACCAACTCTAAACTAACTCTAGACCAGCTCTAAACCAATTCTAAACCAGCTCTTAACCACCTCTACCAGCTCTAAACCAGCTCTAAGTCAGGCCTAACCCAGGCCTAAACCAGCTGTAAACCACCTTAGAGGTGGACTACACAAGAACTATATTGAACTGGACTGAATCAAGACTAAACCAGGACTAAACCAACACTAGACCAGAACTAAATCAGGATTAAAAAAGGACTAAACATGAACGAACCCAGGACTAAACCAGGATTATGCCAGGACTAAACCAGGACAAAACCAGAACAAACCGAGGTTAAAAAAAAAACAAACAAGACTAAACCAGGACTAAACCAGGACAAACCTAGGAATAAACTTGATAAACCAGCTCTAAAGCAGCTCTAAAGCAGCTCTAAAGCAGCTCTAAAGCAGCTCTATAGCAGCTCTAAAGCAGCTCTATAGCAGCTGTAAAGCAGCTGTAAAGGTGCCTGAGTCAGAAACACTTAACCTGTGTGTATTCTTGTTGTATCTGTAGCACATTTTGAAGCGTGACCTTTGCCCTTTGAGATGTTGTCATAGATTAGCGTGTGTCCTCTGCTTTTTCACTTTGACTTTTCTCTCTGGGGCTGTGTCTGAGGTTTGGCCCCCGCTGCTCGCCGTAGATGGACCTCTGCTCCCCACTGTTCTGTCCGCTCGACTCTGGCCTGATTTGGACCTGTTTGAGACCGTGCCTGGTCCCTATGGCGATGTATAGAGTGAGGAACTGACCTGGTTCCCCTGCGGTGAGAGGGCACAGGCACAGCTGGACTCTACACTCTATAAGCCTGAATCACCTCACGACATTTACACAAAGAGAGACATTTCAACAAGAAACTGAGCTACAACAAAAGAGTAAACCCAAAACAGGTCTAAACCAGGACTAAAACAGGACTGGACCAGGACTAGGACTAAACCAAGACTAAACCAGGACTAAAACAGGACTAAACTGGGAGTGAACTAGGACTAAACAAGGACTACACAAGAACTAAACCGGGACCGAATTAAGACTAAACCAGGACTAAACCAACACTAGGCCAGGACTAAAAAAGGACTAAACACAGACTAACCCAGATCAAAACCAGGACTAAGCCACGACTAAACCAAGATGAAACCAGGATAAACCCAGGACAAACCTAGGTATAAACCAAGACTAAACCAGGACAAACCCAGGACAAACCTAGGACCAGGACTAAAAGAGGAGTAAACAAGGACTAACCCAGAACAAAACCAGGACAAAGTCAGGACTAAACCAAGATGAAACCAAGACAAACCTACATATAAACCAGGACTAAACCAGGACTAAACCAGGTCTAAATCAGAACTAAACCAGGACTAAACCAGAACTAAACCAGGACTAAACCAGGTCTAAACCAGGATTAAAACCAGGAC